GGTGTACGTAATACTTAAACAAGATAGTTGTTTAGATTTCACACAAAGCTGTAATCACATGATAATTACACTTGTCAAGGGTCAGTTGTTTTGTACTCGATCAAAGTGGGTGTAGTATTTTAAATCAGCAGAAGGTAGAAATGCCAGAGAGCAATGTAATCTTTGGTTTTTGTCATAAAAATAAAATTCAAACACAAATATAATCTTGATTGATGTGTGTTATAGAATCGAAACTAAGGATGCTTGTCTAAATTCTTTCAGAAAAATATCGTCCTAATTTCGATGGGTTACACACTAATTGTTAATTAGAATTTCGACATAATTTCAGTTACGACGGATTTCAAAATTCGTCAGAATTTTGACAGGTTATTTACTAATAGTTTATTATAATTTTGACAGAATTTAGATAGTTACTAAGAGATTTCAGCAAGCAACCTTAATCGAAACACAAAAAAGATATAAAATATCTGAGTGATATTGAAATTATTAGAAGATGAAGACATGGTCTTGGTGGGTATTATCAAATAGAATCGGAACACAAGAAAAATATGAGAAAAAAATCATCACACAACAGGGAATGCAAAAAAAGAATGAAAAATGAAAAAAATAGTTATTTTCTTTTTTTTTGAAATTTGTCACAAATTTACTATCACTAAATTAAGTGTCGCAACCTTAATGCTAAGGTCTTTTGATTCAAGTCAATCAAGGTATTGAATATATTTTAACCTATTGTATCTAAAAAAAAAGAATAAAACTGAAATACATTTCTATTAATAAAGTTAGATTTGTAAAATTTCAACAAACACTCAAATTATCTTAATATTAGATAAATGAATAAAAATAATCCAACTCCAACTTCAACCTGGCCTGGATCTAATCCAATTCAAGCTCTAATCTCAAATCCTCAAATTCAATCTGAAATGTTAATCTATATCTGAAGAGAATTCTAATTATACAATCAAAATTCTCTTCAGAAAAAATCGAAAAAAAAACAGAATAATTAATAATTATATTAAAAAAAATAATTAATTAATTAATATTTCTTACCATATATTAATATATTAATATATAAATATGTTATTATTTACAATTTATCTTGATACCTTACCTAATAATTTTGATTCATTTATCTAAGCTAAGATAATTTTGAGTTTTGCTAAAATTTTACCTTTGCTAATAGAAATGCATTTATGGTTTTGTTTTTTGTTTTTCAGGAGGTATATCAAAAATTAACTTTATATTAATTTTTAATATAACCCATACAATAAGTTAATACCATATTCAAACCAAGAAAGACGAGTAGATCAACAAGATTTCAAAGTATCAAAAGAGCTTTGCTAATTAATGATAGTGTCATTGAACAACATTTGATAACAAAGATAGTGATGGCAATGTCAGAAGTGGTGGTAATGGCAAAAGGGATGATAATATTGGTGAGGACAAAGATAATGGTAATGGTGGTAATTTTGATGAAGATAATGATGTAATGATGCCAATATTTTTTTTGTTTTTTAATGTACTGTATGTACATAATTCTTTAAACTCGTATTTTGTCTGTTTGTCAATTATATGTTGGCTAATTTGATTTCCAACGCCTACTAAATTTTTGATAGTATTGATCTTTTTCTTTCCTTTTCGATATTTTTCTTGAAACAATCTTGATAGGGTGTCAGTATAAAAATGATGGCATTAAAATCCTTTTTGTCATATCTCAGAATCTGCATGAAACCTAATGATCGCTTTATTGATAAAATTGATAATGTTTGGAGGGTGGTGATGTCATTATCCTCGTTGTTCGTGGCATTCCTATCTTTTTTATCCATGTTGTGATATGTATAATTAACCACTAACTATTGTTTCATATATATAACTACATATATATTGGCTTCATTTAATTTATGTTTTTTTTTGACTTCAATATTGTATTTTTTGATCGTAATTGACATATCAAAGTTAGGAACATCCTGTGACAGTGTTCTCACATCCACTAACCTTATACAAATTAAATTCAATTATTGAATAAGTATTCTGACATATTTACAATTATTTATCAATTGTTGAATAAGTGTTATAATATATTTACGATTATTTGTCAATTGTGTGGAAAGTAAATATATTTGTTGTGTTAATTGTATACATTCTTTTTCAGCTTTCACGATACGTGAATTTTGTTCTTGTAATTTTTTTTGATCATTTAAAATACGTTTGCTTAAAAAATCAATTAAAGCGTCCTTTACATTTGATTCTCCTCCAACTTTTGCCACACGTGAATTTTGTTCTTGTAATTTTTTTTTAATTATTTAAAATATGTTTGCTTAAAAAATCAATTAAAGCATCCTTTACATTTGATTGAATTGTTTTTCTTTGATTACTTTTTCATCACTTTGTATGCGTTTGCCTAAATATCAAATTAAATTATTCTTTTCTTCTAATTGATTTTTAAGACACTCAATTTTCTTGAGTGCTTTTTTGATATTTTTTTCTTCCAATTGACACTCAATTTTCTTGAGTGCTTTTTTGATATTTTTTTCTTCCAATTGACACTCAATTTCCATGAGTGGATCTTTCACGAGCCAACAATCAATACAATAATAAGCAAATATGATAAGGCTGAACACAGGTATAAGAGTAATACTTGAATCAGAGGTTAATGCCATTAATTTCACGAACCAATGAAAAATATGATAATAAGCGAAGTAAAACACAGGTATAAGGATAATATTTGAATCAGAAGTCAATGTCATTTATGCTGAAATATAAAGTTAAACTTTGAATCTTCCAGAAATCCTTCTCGTTTTAAATATGTTTTTTCATTGTCTTATTTAACAAAACTCGTGCACAAATTTTTCTGTAGTAAATTTTTTTCAAAATGCTTCCATCTAGTAAATGCATGAGTAAACTCATGTAAAATTTTTCCAAGAAAAATTTGTTCGAGATGGGACGGGTGTTAGTGCATTATCGATAGAGGGAACATGAATATATCCAAATGAACACAGCCTATATTATAAACAATGTTACTTATACCAAACGTACACAGCTAATATACATATGTATTTATTTGAAGATTGAATTTATATTGAATTTATATTGTTTACAATAGGATACGTATTGGTATAAATAAACAAAGACGGACGATCTCAAACCTGTAAAAAAATAAAAAACAAAAATCAGAAAAAATCCAGTTTTTTAATTCCAGAAAATTACGGGTTTTGTTAACAAATTTCCGGATTAAAATCTGATAAAAAACTGCTTAAAAATGAAAAAAACGGAGAAAATAAAAAAAATATCTGGAAACTTTGGGATGTGATATCTCGCGAACCACGAAACCAATCCGAACAAAAATACACCATTCGATTTGTCTAGTCTTGACGAATCGAATGGTGGTATTTTCGTCCAGATTGGTTCCGTGGTTCGCGAGATATCGCGTTCCAAAGTTTCCGGATTTTTAATCAGATTTTTATCAGATTTTAATCCGGAAATTTGTTTACAAAACCTGTGATTTTCCAGAACTAAAAAACTGGATTTTTTCCTGATTTTTGTCTTTTATTTTTTTACAGGGCAATTGAGATACCCTACGGGTATTAATGTATTATCGATAGAGGAAACATGAATATATCCAAACGAACACAGCCTATATTATAGGCACACGCAATATTACTTATTCCAAATGTACACAGCCAATATACATACATATTTATGTAAAAATTGAATTTATATTGTTTACAATAGGATCCCAGATCGATCCGGGGCCTATACATATCAGTATAAATAAACAGAGATAGACAATCTCAATTGAGATACCCTATAAGATATTTTGTCATAATGTTACACAATATGTTACATAGTATTAATCGTGAAACTTGTATCTCTCTCAAAAACTTGACTTGTGCCTTTTTGATAATGTTTAGCCAATAAATAATATTTTATTAAAGAATTATTTTAAGCTGTGAGAGTATATGCATCTAGTATATATGATTTTTTTTGCAAAGTTCATCTTTAATAAAGTTAGCTTAAAGACAAATATAAAATAACTTTGAGCATGGAGTTTCAAAAATGCGCATATTTGTTTAAGGAATTTGATTTCAAAAATCTCAAATTGCGTTTGCTTGAATGTAAAATTTAATAATAATCACTCGATTGAGTCATTAGAAAGGTATATTTGGTGTTGTCAGATCGAATATAGTGTTTTTATTATATTAATATAATTATTCAGACAATGTAATTTTTAAAGCAAAAAAGTTTCTTTAATGCAAATCTACCACTACGTACGTACCGTACATGCATTTAGAAAATTTAAAATTGTTAAGATTTGAATAATTAATGTGGTATCCTATAACTTTGGAGCCACCCAATAAACGCTATTGCACTCATCACAATGAAAACAAAATGATGATCAAATAGGAATTTGAGATTATTATTCAAAGATCAAGTTCAAAGAACTCCTCCTAACACAGGTCCAATAGCACGAGAAAGGGATACTATTGTTTGTCCTATTCCATTTACAGTGCCAAGAACTTCTTGTGAAATGATGTTCAAAATCTGTTGAATTTAAATTTATTAGATAGATGCATTTCCAGATAATTAATTAATCAATATCGATATGTATCTACTGCTACTAGAGATGGCACAACAAGTATGTGACACTTATTTGTCACCCGTTGCAACACATTGCAACTCCAAAATTTTATAAGCTGCAACTAGTTGCAACTAGGTGATGCTTTATTTGTCATCACGTTGCAACAGTTGTCACGTCATCTTTAACCGTTATATATCAAAAGCGTAACACTTGTATATTCAATAACATTCAAGAAGAAACGAACAGACAATGTTCCTAGTAGTATACACCAAACTATATATTCACTCATTAAGTTTTCTTGATCAGGGCACATGACAACACCTTTTTCAGATTCAAAATAACAATTGAGTGTCCATTTTAGGGTGTTTATTAATGGAAACATCAAGTAAATGGGAATATAAAGAAACCATGTGATATGAAATAATCACTTTGTATCAACTCTTTTATTTAGCGATGGTAAAATTATAAAATGACAAAATAATGTCACGAAATCCATAATCGCCAAACTGAGTGCAAGATCTTGAGATCGATAGCCAAGACCATTATTGGAAACTCGAGTCACTGTATATATGATGTATACTTCATTATATATTATGGAAAGAGCTAACATTTCATAGGAGATGAGAGGTGGGATAGCAGAAGATATATTGTGTAAAAGATGAAATTTCCAGTTATCTGTGCTTAATGTTGAATTATTATTAGTAATGTGCGTTTCTCTGTTATCATTAAGAGAACTAATTCCATAAGATCCAACATCATTCGAGCAATTATTATGTTTTGTATAAAGTAACAGTTCACTCTCAGGCTTGTATTCAGATTTTTGAACGATATTACGTGTTTCAGGTAACATGAAATATTCACAAACAAGTCCTATAAATGAAACTAATGACGCAACAAGACACAGCAGCAAATAGGGATAATATCTCCAAAAAGCATTATCAAAAATACTCGAAAAATGATCAGCAGGATGCGACAAATATCCATCAATGGTTGGTCCTAAAAATTATATAGAAATATTAGACGATTGGAAAATATTGAGCTTCCTAACGCTGATATGAACTTACCGACTTATATTCATAATAAAAAAAGATTAAGTTAAGAAATTAAATGTTGGCATATAAAAATTCACATTCAAATTGCCAATATTTCTTGTACATACTTATATAGCCAATACCCCAAGCCAAGCCAAACATGGAAAAAGCTCTTGTTTTATTAGTAGAATTGGTTATCTCACCAAGCAAACTTTTTGTCACCCCATATTTACCTGTTTTAAATATAATATAAAATTAATAGAATAGCTTTCATTTACAATTACGCATATGCACTTATGTTTAAAGCACCATTAAGACTTCTGGAAGCTATAGTTCACCTATACATACAATTATTAAAAAATCTTATTAATTTATCATTAGTACAGGTGATATTTGTAAACTTGGATAACCCACTATAAGGTTTTACTTGTGCCAAATAATGTACAAGATATAATATTGCCCAACAATCTGATCAGCAAAATTGAACGTCAACCAAATTTATCAGACATGTAACCCCAAAAAATCGCGCAACAGAATTGAGCAAAGAAAAAAGATGAAGCTATAAAATACAAATTATGAACGATAAACATAATGATAATAAAGAATTGAAAAATTCTCTTTTACCTATTAAACCAGCATAAAATTTGATCTCTTTATCATTGTCAGTCAAATGAAAGTCTTAAACCTAATAAATTATCACAGTGAATATGAATATACATATTAATACATAGTAATTAAATCAATTATCATAATGAATATATTATAAAAATCTTTCATTTACCATAAAATACACAAATGATAATAAAATAGTTGAACTCATGAGTAAGGTTGCTTGCTGAAATCTCTTAGTGACTGTCTAAATTCTGTCAAAATTATAATAAACTATTAGTAAATAACCCG